CGTTCGAAAATTTAGGGTTCGCATTATGTAGTTACAATCAATCTTCCAATTTTTATCAGAATAGCAAAATATATGGCTAGACTTTATTGCCTTTAGTTTTTTTATCACTCACGCAGAAATCGGCTGATTGTTGAGTGATTTAAAGGATAATTAATTATGGAAGCATAATAGACACATACATGAACACCTTTACAAAAATTTCCCAGACAGAATCTAGAAGGATTTCACTTGAGCTCAGAGAAAACCGAAAATCCCATTCAGTAGGCTATTCCCAGGAGAATTGATTATTAATATTTAATTATATTACGGTGGATACTTTTAATGGGTTAAATTTTAATACCTGTTTATTAGTAAACTAGCCTCTATACGGCCAGCCTTCGTCTGGCTTTTAAATGTACTACAAAAATGCCTAAAGGGAACACCAAACATTAAATTTAAAAACTGCACATAATTTTAATCTGCAAAACAACTTTACCAAAAATAAATAAATAAATAAATATAATTCAATAAAAATGTATCACATATTAAAAATATTACAATGAAATAAGCAATATCCCTTAATACAAATATTAATTATCCTAATAAATAAATTAACCAACTTCCCGTTGCACAATCTTAAATATTCAAATGGTATAAAAGGAATTTAAGAACTTTGTTTGCTAAAAAAATCATGCAAAACTTTTTATATAATTAAAATTACGTATAATTAAAACGTAATAAAAATTACGATGAAATAAGCAATAAATTTATATTTTCGAGAGAAAACAGTCAGCAGTCCAGTATCCAAAGCAATGAATAAAAACTGTTGCTAAAAACCACATTTCTAAAAGAATGAATCTATCGTCAGAAAGCAATAATCAATCAAAATTGTGCTTTGTGGATGACATAATTCAAAATATAAAACCCTCTTTGCCATTAAGTAATAAAGAGAGAGAGAGAGTAAAAACGGAAATTCTTTCTGTTGTGCCTAGCGAGACACATGCCCGTCAGAATAAGAAGATTGCGTTGTGCGTGTTGCGTGTCCAAAAATCAAAAGAAAATAAGCAGCATGAAATAAGCAATATTTTTAGTACAAATATTAATTATGCGAATAAATAAATTAGTCAAATTCCCGTTGCAAAAATAATTTACATCTTACACATTTTATTGTTTGTATGCTTTAGTTATTACTTGTATGCTTGTATTATTAATGTATAAGAGTATGTTTTGTTAGTTGCAACATTACTGTATTTTGCTTCCACCATATCTTTTTTTAATTAATTTTGCCAATCACAATTAAGTACAGTACGCTGAAATTCAAATTGTACTCAGTGTCTTTCTTAGCACATCAATATTCCTCTTGTACTTTAGTAATTACTTCCCAATAATACTGGAATCTCAGGAGTTCAGCAATTAGCAACGGCCATCGCACCATTCATCTGCTTTTTCTTTATTAATAATTTTTTATCTTTCATTTATTTTCTTTAATTGTTTATTTTATTTCATTTGTTGTTGTTGTACTATGGCAACTAATGAAACTTCACCTGCGAATTCCACTTCTCTAATTCAAACACCACCAGCTCCTCTCACTCGTTCTTTTACTAACGAGCCAGCATCCTCAAGATTACAGATACTGAACACAGAGTGTGATAAGATACTAGACTTAGTTTCCTCCAGCACATAATTTTAATCTGCAGAACAGGTTTAGTAAATCGGATAGAGAATTATTACAGCAATTTGTCTTTAGCGTGAGAAGCATCCTCACAGAACAAGAACTGCATATTTCCCGCTTACAGGGTCAAATTGAAGGACAATTGCAGTCCCAAAACGGAATTCTCAGAAAGCTTCAACAGTTGCTACCTCAGCAAGTTCAGCGCACTCCTGCTCAGATAGATTTTGCTCCTTTAGGCGCACCTGAAATTCAACCCAACGACATACCGTTCATCGAAGTCACACCCCGTAAGATTGTCCGTCAACATCAGCATCAAAGTATATCCCCACTGCAGTAATTCCGACTGAACATTTCACTCACGTGCTGTTAATAAGCGCTAAACACTCTAGCCGCATTCCAGAGAATATTAAATCCCAATTAGTTGCAGAACTCCGGCCCTCACAACTAGGGGTCACAATAGTTCAAATTCGGCCAACAATTCAAAGGAATTGCTGATCAGGTGCAGAGAGAGCACACATATCTCTAGACTTCGCAAGGCAATTGAATAACACCCACAATTAAGTGACTGCCTCATATTACGGGAACCCAAACCACCAGGAGAATCCATCATTGTCTTTGGCGTCCCACCAGAAGCGACTGAGGAAAATATAGTCTAAGCGCTTAAAGACCTCTTGCCACCGTCATCAACAAGTAAAATCTCTCCCAAGAGGTCATTGCCTGGACTAGACGGCAACATAAACTGGATCTTAGACATAGAATCTGGTATCAAGGCAGAGCTGCTAGCAAAGGGCAAGGTTTTCATAGATTTTGTGTCCTGTCCTTTTCGCTCTTACATTCGAGTAGCACGTTGTTATAATTGCCAACAATTTGGCCATATTAGTAAAAGTTGCCGAGCCGCACCTTCTTGCTCCAAGTGTGGAAAAGTCACTTAATGCAAGACTGTCAGTCAGAAGAAGTTAACTGTATCAAATGCCATATTTCTAATTTCACAAAAGGCACAGAGTTCTCAAAAGATCACTTAGCAAGTTCTTCAACATGTCCAATATACAGAGCAGTTCTCGACAGCAAGTCGAAAGCCTCGAACAAACAATAGACCCCACACATCTCCGCTTCTATAAACTGGCTAACAATCTAAATTTTATGCAGGTCAACCTACAACGCTCAAAAGCAGCCACGTTAAATGCAATTCAGGCAATGACACAACTCCAAGCAGATGTAGGCCTTCTACAAGAACCTTACACATTTAAATGGATATATACCAGGAATCCCAACACTCTTCAAAGTATTCCTGTCCGCAAACTTACCTAGCAGCTATAATTTATAAAGGCTCACTAACTCCAGTCCATAAGAAAACTACAGATCACACAGTCACTGTGCTACTACTCGAGTCAGTTGCAACCTCACTTGAAATTAACGTCTGTCTACTTCCCGCCCAGAGCTGATATGGCAACATCACTAGCAGAATTAGAAACTGGGCTAACAACTCAACCCACACATAGAATAATAGGAGGAGACTTTAATGCAACCAGCCCACAATGGGGAGCACACTTGGAAACTCCACAAGCAAGAATAGTGCAAGAATTTGTAATGTCTTATAACCTGACTATTCTCAATGACCCAGAGTCAAAGCCAACGTTCTGGACCACACGGGCACAAGGCTGGCCCGATCTAACAATTGCATCAGCTAATACAGCAGCATTAATACAGAACTGGGAAGTCAGCGACTTACCTTCTGTCAGTGATCACCGCATTATCACATTTCACCTGGGAACCTCGCATACCTACTTCATAAAACGTCGCTACAAAACATGCTATGGTGGGCAAGAAGCATTCAGAATTCAACTCCAACCGCACATAGCAAGTCTTGAAGCAAACTTAGATAATTGTCAAAGCCCAGAGCAACTTGATTATCATTACAATCAACTTGTGCAACACTTAACAAAAGCTTGCGATAATACCTTTCGCAAGAAGGCCATATTTGCAACCAAAAAGCCTTTCTTGGTGGACTCCTACACTAAATGCAGAACGTAGCAAAATCCAGGCTTTGTGCAGAAGAAGCACAAGCAACAACACAGAGCAGCCACTTAGAAGTCAACGCATGCTGGAATTTTGCAAAGACCAGGGCGCAATACAATTATATGCAAGTACAACATTACGGCAGCAAAACTTTCTTCTTGGATGCACTACTGTTCCACAGCGACGAAAACTTATATTGTAGTGCAGAAAATAGCCTGCGACAAAGTATTTCGATCAACAATGCTGACAGCCTCACTCCTACCTTCTGCTAAGTCAGGTTCAGACGTGGCGAGATGTATTATGGACTGCATATTTCACACAGATAACAATGAAGATAGTTCGGCAGCACAAAGGCATGCAAGGCAGCTCTTCAACAAACGCAGGTGGTCAACAAAGCAAAGAAAAGAGCCACTTCCCACAGCATATGAGCTTAACCACATAATAAAATACTTAGTTCCTAAGAAAGCCCCTGGCCCAGATGGGTTAGATAATATGACTATCAAAATCATCTACCAGCACTTTCCTTCCCTACTACACTCCCTCTTCAATGCATGTTGGAGGCAACGTCATTTTCCACAAGGAATGAATGTGGCAGAAGTAGGCCTCTTCTGCAAAAAAGGGAAGGATCCGGTTATACCAAGATCATACCGGCCCATCTTTTTATTACCAGCCCTTGGAAAAGTGCTAGAACGTATCATCCTTACCAGGCTCAACAACCACCTTGCAATCACTAATGCTTTGCATCCTAACCAGTATGGTTTTCGGGCCGGAATGTCAACTGCAAATGCATTGGATAATCTAATGACAACGCTGTCAAATAATAAGAGCGCAGACATTCATTTCCTCATTATTTCCATTGATATCCAGGGAGCATTCGACACCATCTGGTGGCCAGACATTATCAGCAGCTTGTCCTCTCTTTCCTGCCCTGGTGTGATAATAGATCTCGTTAGAAATTACCTGGACAACAGAGAAGTACAGATAACGATGAATAATGACATCATCACCAAAAAAATTACTCGTGGCTGTCCTCAGGGTTCGTGCTTACGTCCCACCCTGTGGAACTTAGTAGCAAACACTGCATTCCAGCGCGTTTCAGAAACCTTCACCAAGTCAAGATTCTGGCATACGCTGATGATTTCCTCATTGTTGTAGCGGGCCGCAGCGATATCCAACAGGATTGTCTAGATATCTTTACTCAATGAGACAAGGAACATAAACTTGAAATAAGTGCAGAAAAAAACGCAAGCCATTATAATAGGACGTCGTCATCCCCTTAGGAGAAAGAACCTATCTAAAACTACAGGGACATTCATTAAAAACAGTCTCAGAAATGACATACCTAGGTCTCTCCTTTGATAATAAACTTTCATGGACTCCTCATCTTAAAATTCTCAGGCAGCGCATTGGCAATCTCACTAACAGTATGAAACATACTGCAGGTATGAAATGGGGCATACCGGCAAATCTCCTGAAATCTTGGTATAAAACCATTTCAGAACACATTATTTTGTACGGAGCCTCCATCTGGGGCCAGAACGTCACTTCTACTATGATGAAACCTTTGCTTTCCATACAAAGAAGTCAACTTCTGGTCATCTCTCGGGCCTATCGGACTTCTCCAACATCTGCTCTACAAGCCTTTACGGGTCTTCCCCCTCTTGATCTTGTAGTCGAGAGGGAAACCGCAGTGATAAAAGCTACAAGGCTTAATAAAAATACATCACTGTGGGGACAAAGCATAATCCACACAGACTATGAAAAATACAAATCTCGTTATCTTTGTCACCCAGCACAATTTGACCTAATGGACACCATCCATATAAACTCAGATTCTCCGGCGCAAAATGACCATGCATTATACACTGATGTATCTAAGACAAAGGCTGGCACAGGATGTGGATTCTGCGAATTGGATAAAGGCAGCATCATCTTCTCCTGGAAGCGAAGACTGAACGAAAGTAATTCAGTGTTTCAGGCAGAACTCATAGCCTTACACGCAACAATCATCCACAGTCGTAGGAATGGTCTTAATCAAGTTCATATTTATACGGACTCCGCCTCAAGCCTCCAAGCACTTTCAAGCATGCACAGCAGAAGCCCTCTGGTTAACAAAATACAGAGAACTCTCCTTAGTATTCCTATACCTTTTCGTCCTGTACTCTGTTGGGTGCCAGCGCACTGGGAATACTAGGAACTGAAAGTGCAGACGTTGGGGCTAAAGAAGCAACCAATAGTGCATCCTTACTTGAGTGCCCAACAACACTTCCAACCTCGCTGCTAAAGCATTCCACGTGCAAACTTCTTATAAGACAGTGGCAAACCCGCTGGAATGATGCTACAACGGGTCGACGTACACATGCAATGCTCCGAAGTGTAAGCATGGATCTGCAGAGCAAAACTGGCAGCATGTCACATTTCCTAACAGGACATGGACCGTACAAAGCCTATCTGCATAGGTTTGGTCTATCCAACACAGACATCTGCGATTGTGGGAAAGTGGCCAGTCCAGACCACTATTTTTTTTAATGCCGCTTGACGGCGAAGTTCCATCTAAAAAAACCAGCACCCATGTTTCGCACAGCGCGGTGGAATAATATTCAAAATAACAATGTTGCTGTATCGAATCTACATGCTATCACTACCTACTGCACTGCAAAATCAAAGTAACCTGGAACAGCTCTCATCACAGTCATTCCCCAAATAGCTAAATCACTGTTTCAGCTCCTGTGATATAAGTATTTCTTTTTTATATATATATACATATATATATTATTTATCTTTTTTTTTTTTTTTTTGCATAAATGTAGTTATTTTTAACCCTTTTGTTATAAAAATCTTTGTTCCATCGAATCAACTTTTTGACATATACAAATATTTGTACTCATCCGGTGTAATACATTGTTCATACAGTTATCTAACTTTCGTAATATAAGTGTTCATTCCAATATTAGTAAATATGCCAACCTAACATATGAAATACAATAACAATGTTGCATAATGTCTATATATTTCTGTAGTGTAAAAATATTTCTTCCACATTGATTGTCATCACTTAAATGTATCACATTTGACTTATTTATATACCAAATGTAGCATTCATTTAATGCACTGCCAAATGCATATATGTGTATACATACAATATAATTTCACTAATATATAGTATTGATTTATGTCATAAGAGTGTTCATATGTAATACTGTGCTTTTCGAAATATCTTGTAACAAAAGAAAATAATATGTACTGAACAACAGGCCTTGTATGCCAATGTAACTGAGTTCCGCAGAAATGACGTTCAATTCCGTACGGCAAGAACTAGGACGGATGTCATCTTCGCGGTGTATAGTATCTTAAAAACAGTGAATAAGAAATAAGCAATAAATATTTTATCTCATATTTTCAACAGTCAGAAGCCCAGTATACAAAACATTGAATTAAAAACTGTTGCCAAAACCACATTTCTAAAAGAATAAAACTATTCAAAATATGCGATTTCATCAAAATATATTAAAAAATTCTGATTCGAATTTTGGAAAGGTCGCTTCGAGGTGCACTGGCTCTTGTCTAGATGCACCTATGTACCAAATTTCGTAGCCCTGGATCTATTTATTAGCTTACACGCAGCACGAACGAAAAAAACTGCGTCACCAAATTTTGTACACGTATATTCTCCTACGAAGTGCAAAATTTGAATTTTAAATTTGTTTTATTTGTATATTATATTTCGTTCGAATTTAATGAATTTTTGACTGATAAACTCAGAGATTAAAAAATAGTGCTGCTTTTAAATCTTTGGATTGGAAACTACCGAAAAAATACATTTATGACCCATTCGCCAGTGTGCTACCATTTGGCAAAGCCTAGGATTCATACTTAATATGTGCTACCAATTAATATATGCTACCAATTAAAACACTAAGCGATTTAAAAGCAGTAAATGCAATTCTTAGTAATATTGTTGCGTGAGTACAGGTTAGGAATAAATTAAATACACACAGAATTTATAAGAGGTCGATAAAATTTATTTTACCAAAAGTAACACTTAACTTTCCACAAAAGTAGTCATATAACTCTTCACCGTATCACAGAGTGCAATCAGTAATTACACTTTGAACTACTCGGAACGTTAAACACAACGCAATGCAAAGATATTTGGAGAACATTTCTCTTAAATTGCTGAGTTTTATTAAATTTGAAAAGATTCTATGGATCTTACACTTTCCCAATTGGAAACACATCTGTTTTTAATTTTTGTTCCGATAAATTTGAAATATAAATATCCCATGCTTTTCAGAGTGACAACGCTTTGCTTTTTAATCTCTGATTGTTTTAATCAGAATTTCTTAAATTTGCACAAAATGCAAAGTAAATAAAAAAAAGAAATTCAAAATTCGAGCTTTAAGGTTCTGGTAGCTCCAGGTACCGTCGTTTTTATATAATTCGAGCACCATGCATTAGAAACAGATTCTTCATTATTTAACCCTATCCCTAGAAATAAGAAACGATATTTTCGAAACACATTTGACACTTCTAAGAAAGAAGCGGTTCCAGCAAAATATCTCAAAGCATCTTTTTCTCTAATTCTTTTCAACAATTCACGTTAATGATCGCTAGTAATGTCTACGTTGGGCGTTCTGTATTGAGTAATCCTTCTCGATGAGCTGTTCGAAGCGACTTTCAAATGCCCGGCTATTGCATTCTTTGCATTCCGTAGTTGAAGCTTGCAAGCTATTAATATAATAGAATCGTTCTCTGTGACCTTGGTTATTGCACTAACTATCGAGCTGTGCCGAAGTATGTGTAAAACATGGATTCTTTACTTTATTACGCGTAAATTTGTTAGTGAGTGGAAAATTGAATCATGTAAGATTCAATTTGCTTATTTTGTATGCTTTGAAGAATGGCTTACGTACATGGATAAAGGTTGTTACGTTATTTAAATATTAAATTATATTTAAGAAATATTAATTAAAATTAAAAGTAAATAAAATTAGAAATAAAATATAAACCTGATAGGTTTCAGATTTTAACGGTCGCCCAAAAAGTATTGTTATTCTCTATGCTCTCGCTGAGGTCACAATCTACCAGTCTGCTGTTACCCTCCCTCCTACTAACATATATATTTTTATCTCTTTAGCTTTATTATTAAGCAACATTTTCTTAGCACTTACGTCACCTACAATTCAACAGGAAAATTCGATTGCTCAGTTTTCATTTTGACTGCTTCCAAAAATACCTAATAATAGGGGGACCGGAAAGTAATGTCATTTCTGCGCATGTCGACAACAACATGCTAAGGGTAGAAGTGGAAGTAAATCCATGACAAACACTCTTAACCAACCTCGGTAGACCATCCAAGAACATTTAAAGCAGAATGGAAAAATAAACAAAGCAGTTGTTTGAGTCCCCCATAATTTGTCCGAAAAGAACAAAACCAACCTATCCATGACATGCAATTTATTCCTTCAACGGTACCATACTGAACCGTTTTTTGATCGTTTGATTAATGGAGACAAAAACATAAGTCCTATATGATAATCCAAAGCTCAAAAGGCAGTTTTAATAGGGATTACAAAGGGTTTACATCCCGAAAAGACGATTCTGTGTGTTTGATGGAGTATTCGCGGAATTGTTCATTTTGAATTGCTGAAACCTGGACAAACTCTTAATGCAGACCTTTATTGTGAACAATTGGATGGAGTGAGCCAATCTTTAATCGAAAAATATCAATTTTCAACAGAAAAGGCGTCATTCTGCAACACGACAATGCAATACCGCACTGTGCAAGACGAACACTGGAAAAAATTAATGAATTGGGGTGGGAGGTACTGCCATACTCACCCATGATACTCGGCCGATATCGCCTTAGTGGCAAAAAATTTGAAATTTGGATGATGTTCAAAATGTCCTCTCGAGATATTTTACTCAAAAACCAATTGATTTTTATGGGTCCGGGATTGAAAATCTGCACATTACATTAATGGCAAAAGGTTGTTGAAAACGAGGGTGATTATATTATTGATTAAAAATGAAAACTTGTTAAAAATGTATTCGTTTGAATTTAATGTAAGAAAGTGACATTACTTTCCGGTCCCCCTATTATTTCAAACGAAAGCTGGAAATCTTGAGCCACGATATTTCAAACGTTAAATTCCCAAAGCCTCAATATTTGGCTTGCTGTTGTAGCATTTTCTTCTCCTGTTATCTTCATTTTTAACTGACGCCGATCTAACGGAATTGTACCTTCTCCTGTGCTCTACGGAACAGTACCTTCTAACGGAATAGTTCTTCATTCTTCAAATTATTTAATTTCTTTAAATATAATACAGGAAGATAATATTTAATGACAACAATTTGAAAAGTATTACTCCACTTATAGTCACATTTAAAGCAAAATGTCGTTTCAAAACTAATATCGCAGTTGGGAATAACGTTTATTTAGGGCTAATAAAATAAACATTAAATTAAGTACATTAAATATTAAATTATTATAAATTAAAAAAGTAAAATAATATTAAAACCGAGACCTTAAATAAAATATTTCATACTAAATGGCGGCTTTAATATGTGATTAATAAACATGGTGGTAAAAGGTTGCGCTTATCATATTTTCAAAAATTATGTAAATTCCAATGTGGCTAAGTAGTGGTAAATTGTTCCAATGGATAATAAACCTTACACATTGCAAGTAACATATTACATGAAATTTTAGTTGCAATGTATATTGTTAGCTTTAAAAAATTTTTCTTTTGTATGACATGGATATCAATTTTCTAAGCAAAAATTTTAATGATGTGCATTACTTCTCAAAGCATTCTTACCGAAAAACTCGAAGCTTTTAAAGGGACCTTCCTAAACATTTATGAATCTAACAAGGCAGTGATTTGGTAACCTGATTTTTAGACATTGCAAACGCTAACCACAGAAACGATGTGGCCATTGATATCGTTTGAATTCTGACAAAATGGAATGTTGGAGCGACCAACAAGATTGCGAAAAATATGGTATCGCAATTACATTTATGTTTTTCGATTTGATACTCAATCATAAAAATTCGTTTTGGTTGGAAGACGTTCATTTTTATCTTGCACCAAAGAAGCAGGCTTTAAAATAATAGCGTAACTACAACTTAAATGTCGAAAGATACATAGTAACAGTATAGAAGTGCTATGCATGGAAGCAATTTTCCATTGC